GGCATAATGACGGCAGAGGTCAAGGGGCCTAACTAAGGTCATGATTAGGGGGCAAGGTCAGGGATGCTCAAGTGATCAAAGAGTCTCAGGAGTTTATGGTACACGTCTGGCAGGTCTGGGAACCTATTGTCCAAGTCCCTACCCCTTCTTCTTCTAGGAGTTCAGGTACTATCACCTGGGGGTGGTAATGGGGAAGTGGAATTTCTCCTCTAGGAATTTTTGGTAAGTCCCCATCATGTACAAGATGCGAAAATGGTGCCAGTTAGATCCAGTATCCATAAGTAGGAGGCTGGTAACTCAGGCATGGCATACAGCAGGACCCTGCCTCAAAAATAAGCAACAGTAAAAGGGATTGTAGCCTTGGCTCAAGTGATAGAGCACATACCTTGCAAACTCAAGGTCCTGAGTTCAGTCCTTAGTAAAATCTCTCTGCTTTTCTCTCTCTCTCTCTCTCTCTGTCTGTCTCTCCACACACACACACACGCACACGCACACATGCGCCAAAATTCTGATAGGTCTTTTTTTATGGAATCATGAGATAATTTTGAGCTTTGATGTAATGTGACTTTGTTCAACTGTGGATGCTAACTGAAGAATAAACTTAAGGGGACAAAAAGTGAGAATTGGGGAGGAGTTAGCTGACTGAAAATTATCTCTGAATTGTTCTAGGCTTTGGAGTTTTACAACATTAACAAGACAAAAGTTCATGTCCTGAAGCTTCTAAGCCATCTCTGAATTGTTCTAGACTTTGGAGTTTTACAACATTAACAAGACAAAGTTCATGTCCTGAAGCTTCTAAGCCAAGGGTATTGTTGCACACCTGTACTTCCAGCACTCAGGAAAACAAGGCTGGAGTATCATGAGTTGAGACCAGCCTGAGTTAAGCAAGACCCTGCTTTCCCGAAATCCAGCTTTATGAAAATCAGAATCTGTTGAGAACTATTAGCTGCTAAAAAGAAAATAGTTGGGATTTATTTTGCTATTTTATAGTTACATAACCCAGGGCTAGGAAGGTGCGCAATAGTAGAGTGCTTGCCTCGCATGCATGAGGCCCTGGGTTCGATTCCTCAGTACCACATAAGCAAAAAGAAAAAAAAAAGCCGGAAGTGGTGCTGTGGCTTAAGTGGTAGAACACTAACCTTGAGCTAAAGAGGTGAGGGACAGCACCCAGGCAGAGTTCAAGCCCCACAACTGACCCTCCCCCCCCAAAAAAATGTAACCCAAAATATTCATAACCTCTACATAAATTGCAAAATAAATTTCTAATTTTACTACTTATGAATGATGAATTGGTCTTTCCTTTCCTTTATGGTAAAGAAATATATAGCTTCTGGAAGTAGGTAAAAGTTTTTTTTCCTGTAGATTTATTTTTTTCCTTTTAGAAAAAACCTTTAGTTTTTATTTTATATTTTTGCATAAACATTTGGTGTTCTAATTTTCCCCCCATTGTATTGGCTCCTTGATATTACTAAATCTCTGTCTCTTTTTCTAGTAATTCTTCTTTGGGGGTGGGGGTTGATAATGGGGCTTGAACTTAGGGCCTGGGCACTGTCCCTGAGCATTTTTGATCAAGGCTAGAGCTTTACCACTTTGAGCCACAGTTCGACCTCCAGTTTTCTGGTTTCTAATTGGAAATAAGAGTCTCATGGACTTTCCTGCCTGGGCTGACTTTGAATAGTGATCCTCAGATCTCAGCCTCTTGAGTAGCTCACTAGGATTACAAGAGTGAACTACCAGCACCCAGCTCATTCCAGTAATTCTTTTTTTGTTTTTGTTTTTGGTCAGTCCTGGGGCTTGAACTCTGGGCCTGGGTGCTGTCCCTCAGCTCTTCAGCAAAAGGCGAGTGCTCTACCACTTGAACCACAGTGCGACTTCCAGTTTTTTGGTGGTTAATTGAAGTTAAGAGTCTCACAGATGTTCCTGCCCGGGCTGGCTTTGAAATGCAATCCTCAGATCTCAGCCTCCTGAGTAGCTAGGATTACAGGCTTGAGCCACTGCCCCCCCCCCCCCCATTCTAGTAATTCTTTAAGGTACAATTTTGTTTAAAATTAATACAGAGATTCTTCGTTTGACATTTTTCATAGTCATTCTAATTTTAACCTTCTTATGATTTTATTTATAAAGTATTTCTCCTTTAAGTAGCCTGTTTAAAATTTTAAGTCTTACCCAGGTGCTGGTGGCTCATACCATGGTCCTGGATACTCAGGAGGCTGATATCTGAGGATCATGGTTCAACACCAGCCTAGGCAGGAAAGTCTGTGAGACTCTTACTCCAATTAACCACCAAAAGCCAGAAGTGAAATTGTGTGTCTTAAGTGGTAAAGTTCCAGCCTTGAGCAAGAAAAGCTTGGGACCATTCCTAGGCCCTGAGTTTAAACCCCAGGAAGAAAAAAAAAAATCAGTCTCAGTCATTTACTTGAACTACTTAGTTGATTTATATTTAAGGTAACTTTGGCTTATTTAGTTTTATATCTGTCATTTTATGTTTATATTTATTTTTTCTGTTTGTATGGGTTTTTTATTCACTTGCTTGTTGTTTTCTTGAGGCAGGGTCTCATTACAGAGGCTAGACTGGTTTTCAACTCATGACCTTCATACCTCAGACACTCCAGTGGCTGGAATAATTATTTCATAATTCTTCCATTTATTTTTTTCTGTAGATACTTGTTCTTCTCTTATTGGTTATTCTAGAGAAAGAATTGGCAAGTTGTTGCTTGCAAACCAAATCTAGCTGGTTTTTATTTTTTGGTGGTGGTGCTGGGAATTGAATTTAGTCTCCATCTTGCTCAGCAGACGCTACAACCCTTTTTGTGTCAACTATTTTAGAGGTAGGGTCTTGCTTTATACCCTGGCCTGCCTGTATTGTAATCCTCCTCCTTGTGCTTACCTGTGTTGCTATGGTTGACAGGCATGTACCACTATGTCACTCCATTTAGTGACATGGAGTCTCAAGAACTTAATGCCCTGCCTGGCTTTCCCGGAGCCCCCAATCCCTGATCTTTGCCTACCAAGCAGCTAGGCTTGAAATCTCCTGTTTCTATACATAAAGTTTTATTTTAACACAGTCAGATCTATTTGTTTACAGAATATATATTATTGTCTACGTCCTACAGCATCATTTGAATTGTTAGATACCGCATATATATAATACATATATATTATTTACAGTGTTCATTTTGTGAAAACTTATTAATCTGCATACTTAATATATATACTCTAGTCTGCCTTGTTAAAATGTTAAAAATTAATTTTCCAGTAGTTTGAGAATATGGGGAGTTAATTATATTTTTAATGGTAGAGACATTTACACTTCAATTCTTGTGTGTATAGAAACAGACCACTGTTTCCATGGGAACTTCTGGCTCCACTGTGTTTCATTGCCTGACTTTTTGTAGATTTGGGTGTCTACTATCTCTCTGAGCTGCATGTTTTTACATAATGGTCACAAAAAGTTTATTTGGAATTTTCTTAGTGTTCTTAGCAGAGCAATCTATGTAAGTCATGTATTTTATACACATTAATGTATCCAAATTGACATCTATTTGTGTTGCACTTTTTAAAAAAGACTTTTTCTTTTTTTTTAACCAAAAGATGTTATTTTCACAGAAGTGAAGAAAAACACTGGCTGAAATGGAATGCAGCTTTATATTACTGGAATGTTTAAAAAATTACTCCAAAAAATAAAGTAATCTTAAGACTTAGAGAGTATTTTCTTTGGAATAGAGTTAACAATTGTACTAATATTCCTTCAAATAGATAATTTCACTCTGAGTGATTGCTTGTTTGTGTAGGGAGGGAGAACAGACTAACAGGAGATTCTTGCATATTCATCTGAAGCCTGTGGTAAAGCTGCTTCTCAGCCTCACCCATCTTATTTGTCGTGACTAGTTTGTTCAGGGTCCTAGAGTAAACCATTTTCTCAGAAGAGTAAACTGCATGTATCTTGTGATTTTTTTTTTTTTCTTTTTTAGGAGAGGAGAAGGAGGTTGGGAGGTGTTACATTGTATATGAGGAGATTGTTAAGGGATTATTAAAGAGTCTTGTAATATATCATAGAAGCATTTTTAAGAATAAACTGTTCAGTTTCATTCTTATAAGCTAAGTAAGCAAGAAAACTGGGATTATAGAGTTAATTATGAGCAGTAATGAGCACTGTTATATGCTATGCTTTAGTGATGCAATAATAAGCATCTTAGCAGAATGTTCTATTTATGTAAATTTTATGTGAATTAAGAAAAAAATAAGATTTACAAATCTATAATATCAAATGCCTTTAGATTTTTGATATAAAATAGATCGTAAGTGTAGAGGGATTTTTTTTTAGAGCATAGAGAATTTTTACCTTTCATCTGGCAGTAGCTGCCATAAGATGATGTCATCTTGCAGCTGATTGGCTATTACAGCACCTAGGGCAGGGAAGAGAAAGAAAAATGCCGGCACAAACCTCAGTGGTGGTTCTGTGGTTGTTTCTATCTATTTTTGATAGAATCTTTGATTAGTATCAAATTTACTGTGTTTGGCCATGTGAACTATCAGAAGCATTGTAGGGTGAGGGAAATTAAGAGCTTTCAGAGGAATGAGGCGACTGATTTGCAAACGGATCTGTGATTGTAAGTTGCAGAGTCTGGGTGTAAGGAATAAGGCAGGGCGTGCTGGAAGATGCACTATGGGAGGAGCTGGCAGAAAATCCTTAGATGAGTAGCAAAAAATGAAAGATGCTTTTTACTGATCTTAGAGCTAATTTGTTTGGTTTGATAATTTTGCTTAATATATACATATATATGTAGAAAGCATGATAGAATTGCATTTTTATTTTAAATTACAGTGAATTGTTTTATGTAGTTTTAGCCAGTGTATAAATGCTTATTCGAAAGACCTTTATTTTGTATTATATGTCTTACCAAAGTAATGATTTTATACATGGCTTTAGTTGATTTGGGGGTTGGTAAATACAGTAAAATTTAGCTTCCTTAAGTACATTTTTCTAATGCTTTGTGCAGATAAAAGCTTTGATGATGAGGAATCAGTGGATGGAAATAGGCCATCATCAGCTGCTTCAGCCTTCAAGGTTCCTGCACCTAAAACACCCGGAAATCCTGTCAACAGTGCAAGGAAGCCTGGTTCAGCAGGTGGCCCTAAGGTTGGAGGTAATGTAAATCCATTTCATATCTACTAGGCATATTCCATGCCCTTGGTATGGCACACATACATAGAACTTCAGAGAAACATGTTTATTCATGACTGCAGCATGATTGCAGGTCTTAAGAGACTGTTAAAAAATATGTGCTACTTTTAAAAAATGTTTAAAATACTGCATATTGATATGTCCTTCGAGATCATATGTGTTTACTGAAGGTAGTTATTTTTTTAATGACAGTTTTAAAAGGAAAGATTCAAAGGAGTAGGGCTTATATTTAGAGAAGCATTTCAGAATTCAGCTCTTCACAGGTACTATATTATAGCTATAAAATGCTGAATTATGAAATACATTTACAAATTCATCGAGGTGTAAGTCATCTGTTCCAACATTTTAAAAATGGTTGAAGAAACTGGATACTGAGCCATTTGTTACAATAGGAAATGGGTGGTGGTCAAGTAAAATTGCCTGAAAAAATGGTTTCTGGATTAGATAATAATAAAAAGAAAAGTAAACAAAAAGCAGATTTTATGCAGCTATATTGCATGTGTATATTTTTTGGATATAATAGAAGTGTTTTTTTCTAATAGCTTGCTTTCTTTAAATTATTTCATGTTATTTTTCATATGATGATTGTAAAGCCAGGTGTTAGTTTCTGCTTGATGTTTTTGATAGAAAGAATTTATAAAAGTAAGGGTACATATTTAATGGTAAAGGGATACTAATTATAAGGACCCTGTCATACATATTTAATTTTAACTTTCTTTAACTCTATGTATCATATAACTAGGAAGAAAAATATACACACAGAGAAATACTGTGAAATAAAAATGACTTGCCTATTTCACTGGGCATCTTAAGTTACTTACATTTAAATTTTTTGTTCTGAAATTAAAGGATTATGTTCTCATCCAAATGTTACATGATACTTTCTGTTGTAAATTCTTATCTGTAGCCAAGCTGTACATGGCATTCTATGGTTTCTTCCATTTGTAACAAGTGGTTGTCTTCAATCATTTTTGGGGGACTTTTTCTTGATTTTTTTTGGGGGGGGGGTCCAGTCATGGGGCCTGAACTCTAGGCCTGGGCGCTGTCCCTCAGCTCTTCAGCTCAGGGCTAGCACTCTATCACTTGAGCCACAGCGCCACTTCCGGCTTTGTTTTCTTTTGTGGTACTGGGGAATCGAACCCACAGCCTCATGCGTGCAAGGCAAGCGCTCTACCTCTGAGCCACTTTCCCAGCCCCTTTTTCTTGATTTTTTAAAAATTACATAAGTCTAGCCTGGCACTGATGGCTCATACCTGTAATCCTTACTACTTAGGAGGCTCAGATCTGAGATCACAGTTCAAAGCCAGCCCTGGCAGGAAAGTATTGAGATTACCCACCAAAAAACTGGAATTGGAGCTGTGGTTCATGTAGTAGAGAACTAGCCTTGGACAGAAAAGCTCAAGGACCGTGCCCAGGTCCTGAGTTTAAGCCCCATGACCACAATAACCCCCCAAAAAGGCTAACCTATGGCATAATAATTTTACAAAATTCTTATTTCATTAACCTACTTAAAATAGGTTAATATTTAAAATATGTGGTGATATTTAATATTTTTGTGATGTGAGCTAATAATTTATAATTAATTTTGCCTTTTTAGATAAAAGTGAAGATAGTGATTTACCTACAAATTACTTAATTCTGATACAACTTAAATTATGATTTTCTTTTGAAAATTAGAATAAATTTAAAATAAAATAACTTTTGAAAGAAACAAATTACTTAATGCCCTCTAGTCTGCAGTTGATACTTTATCTTACTAGATATGAAAATGTTAGGTAGTTGCAAATTAATCATACAGATTATATCATTCATTTAGCAGGTTTTTTTGCTGTTTTTTTTTTTGGGGGGGGGGAGATCATGTGCTCACATGCACGCCTGTTAGTCCTAGAGCTTGAACACAGGGCTTGATCACTGTCGTGAGATTTGCCGGGGGGGGGGGGGGGGGGGGGGTTGACTCAAGGCTAGCTCTTTACTTCTTTAGCCACAACTGCACTTTCAGCTTTTTGGTGGGTAATTGGAGATAAGAGTCTCAAGAACTGGGGCTGTGAAGGTGGCTCAGTGGTAGAGTGCTTGCCTTGCATGCATGAAGCCCTGGGTTTGATTCTTCAGCACCACATAAGCAGAAAAGGCCAGGAGGGGGCTGAGGCTCAAGTGTTAGAGCGCTAACCTTCAGCTGAAGAGCTGAGGGACAGGGCCCAGGCCCAGAGTTCAGGCCCCAAGACCAACCAAAAAAAAAAAAAAAATCTCAAGAATTCTCCCACCCAATCTGGCTTTGAACTGGGATCCTCAGATCTGGGCTTCCTGAGTAACTAGGGTTACATAGGCAAGTTTTCTTTTGATAAAAATAAAGAAATTCTTACTGCTTTCATTCATCCTCCTTCTACTCTTTCTCCACTTCCCCCTCCCCCTCCCCCTCCCCTTCCCCTTTTTTTTCTTTGGCAACTGCAGATCATTCTTGTTTGTTTTATTTGCCATGGCTCCTTTAGATTCATTGCCCATTTTTCTGTCTAAGAAAAAGAGCTACTAGCCAGAGGATATTGATGTTGTTCCTGAAATTAATATCATTCTTGGCTGTCAGTCAGTCTTTGAAAACTTAACTAGATGTCCTGGTCTTGGCAGAGACATGTTGATTTTTAAATTACTTGTAGGGGGCTGGGAATGTGGTTAGTGGTAGAGTGCTTGTGTAGCAGGCATAAAGCCCCAGTTCCATTCCTCAGTACCACATAAACAGAAGAAGCTGGAAGTGGTACTGTGGCCCAAGTGGTAGAGTGCTTGAGCCTTGAGCAAAAAAAACTTGGGACAGTGCCCAGGTCCTGAGTTCAAGCCCCAGGACTGGAAAAGATAAATAAATAAATTACTTGTAGGAAGTTTATTTATTTATTAGAGTTGTAGAACCTTTGAATTAAGCCCTTTGGAATCATCAAAATACCAGTAGATAATTTTCCATCATCCAATTAATGTGTCCCAGATTAAAATTTGGAACAAAACCACCTTCAGTCCTACTTCACATAGAGAGACTAAACTGATAAAGTTTACTTTCTTTTGACTACTTTTATAATTATTCTCCTAGTTATTTTTAAACATACACATTTCTTGTGAAAACAGTGGAATTAGCACTCTTCATTATATCCTGTTGTGTACCTTTATTTTCTACCTGATTGTTTTTCCCTAACCATTTTCTCATTGCCTTAAATTATTAATGGAAACTAATTTTTTGCAAACCATGTAAGTGCCAGAGATATATCTCCAGCTTAAGCTCTAACAACTACCTGAGATGACTAATATAAAGAGAAGTTTAACTGGAGGCTCAGGAGTGGAACCTACATAGCATGTGGAAGGCCTTGAGTTCAAGCCTCATATTGAAAGAAACACAAATATGTTTGTCTCACAGTTTTGAAGATTCCAAGTAACTTTTACTAAAGCTATGAAACAGCAGTAAATAAATACAGATGGGAGCCTTTGGGGGAAATATCATAAATTTTTTCTGATAACATGGAAAAGACTTGACTAAATTAAGACACCTACTATGTTCATGAATAGAGAAACCTCTAATACCTTAAAAATAACATTTTTTCCTAACTTGATTTTATACATGGTAATTCAATGATTAGTTAGTAGAAATTACTGCTTTAAAGAATAAATATGAAGTCAAACTTAAGATTTTTTAAGAAAAAAAGAGGGAGGGCTGGGAAGGTGGCTCAGTGGTAGAGCGCTTGCCTTGCATGCATGAGGCCCTGGGTTCAATTCCTCAGCACCACATAAGCAAAAAGAAAAAAGCCAGAAGTGGCGCTGTGGCTCAAGTGGTAGAGCGCTAGCCTTGAGCTGAAGAGCTGAGGGACAGCGGCCAGGCCCAGAGTTCAGGCCCCACAACTGGACCAAAAAGAAAAAAAGAGGGAAACTTAGTCTATGTGATATTAAGATGATATAAATATATAGTAATTATAATAATGAAATTTGTGTAAAATTTATATTTATATCAAGTTTATTTAGATAATTAAAATTGGTAACTATACAAAAAAGAAAAAAAATAATTTTTGGTTAAATGTTGTCTAGATTATTTTTTGGTTTGCTGGCTTGTTTGTAGTGCTAAGTGATTGGATCTAGGGACTTGCATGTGCTATGCAAATGTTCTACCACTGAGCTACATCTCTAACTCTTGGTCTTTTAAGACAGCTTCCTGCTACAAACTCAGGCTGGCATTGAATTCTTGGTATTTAGCCCATTGGCCTCAAACGTAAGTTTTATCTGCTTCAGCCTCTCAAGTCATAGGATGATTTAAAGGCATGAACTGCCATGCTCAGTTACTTGGAATAAGTTTTTGAAGTTCACAGAATTAGAAGATATAGAGATTTTTTTTTTAAAGCTTTTTCCATTTGGCAAAGTCAAAATAAGTCTTAATTTATTCTTTTTTTTAAAAAAATTAAAAATTTAATTTTATTGTCAAGGTGATGTACAGAGGGGTTACACTTACCTATGTAAGGTAGTGACTACATAACTTGTTGAGAACTTGTTACCCCCCCCCTCATTTTTCTCCCACGTTTCCTCCCCCCAATTCCCTCCCCAAGTTGTACAGTTCATTTCAAACATATTGTCTTGTGAGTATCACTGTTGCATTGGTTCGCCCTTTCTCCTTTGTCTCACCATTTTGTTGTTCTCCTTCCCTTCCCTAATTCAAATAAATGCATAGACAATACCAATGACAACAGGGGATAAATCATAGGGGAAAAAGAAAACCCAAAAAGAAATCACATTGTACATTAAAAACAACAACAAAGAAAAACCTCTTATTTCCATATCTTTGAGTGCATTTTGCTTTTTTGGTACTAGGATATTGTACTGGCTAGGCAAGCACTTTGCCACTCAGCAGCTATATACATCCCTGCCCCAATTCATTTTTTTTTTTAATTGTTATTTTAAAGATGATGGACAAAGGGGTTATAGTTACGCAAGTCAGGTAAAGAG